GGTAATAATTGCAGCCATGGGTTTTCATAACATTGTTTCTCTCATGAGTTAATTAAATCTTTAGTCAAATAAATTTCTTAAAATCTATAAATCTCTGTAAATGAGATTTTCTTAATACAGGTAAAGACCAATATATAATTGTGTTTTTTAAAACCATAATAATAAAATGTTATGTTTTAAGTCATATTGTTGTAATCCAGGCATTGGATCTATAGAATTTCATTTAAAACATTAATATTTGCTTTGAATGTTTTGTTTTCCTATAGTTGGTAAATTTGTTAGAGTACTTGATAAATTTCTCATGTTGTAATGGCAATTTTCTTCATGGAAATCAGTAATTCTCTTTCTTAAGAGTTTGCTTTTACTGTCAAGAAAAATAGCCAGCCCTAGCTGTTTTGGCTCAATGGATAGAGCATTGGCCTGTGAACTGAAGGGTCTGTGTTTGATTCTAGTCGAGGGCACATGCCCAGGTTGTGGGTTCAATCCCCAGTGGGGGGCATGTAGGAGGCAGCCAATCAATGGTTCTCACTCATCATTGATGTTTCTATTTCTCTCTCCCTCTCCTTTCCTCTCTGAAATCAATAAAAATATATTTTAAAAAAGAAAAGAAAAATAGCCAAAGTCAAAATAACATCACAATCATAGTTAGTGTGACTGAAGAGAAGGGGAAAATATAGAGTGAGAGAGATAAATGGATAGCTTGAGAGAATGCATTCAGCTCAGAGTTGACAAATTCTATGTTTAGGGCTGAAGAATTGTCCCAAACATTAAGAACTTCCTAAAGTGGTAAGATTATAAACCTCACTCAAGACTGTGTAGGGCAAACTCCCCATCTAGTGCACCCTTGTATTATTTCTGTGCATAAAATATCTGAGACTGAATGTTGTTTTTTAAAATATGTTTTTATTGATTTCAGAGAGAGGAAGGGAAAAGGAGAGAGATAGAAACATCTATGAGAGAGAAACATCTAAGGGCTGCCTCCTACATACCTCCTACTGGGGATTAAGTCCACTAAACTGGCATGTTCCCTGACCTGGAATCGAACTGGTGACCACTTTGTTCATGGGTTGACTCTCAACCACTGAGAAACACCAGGCGGGCTGAATTAATGTTGTTATTCTTTTAATAAATGAAAATAAACTTTCAAATAAAACTGAAAAGTTACTACTTAGTCTTTTTCCTAAGCTGTACTAATTTTTCTTACAAAATAATTTTTTACAGAACCTTGTTGTTATTGTTTTCTGATGATTAAGTATTATTTCTATTTTCAAAGTAAAAATTATACTAAAAATGAAGTGATTAATTCATTTATTTGTATAGGATACAAGGCCAAGGAGTATTCCCTTCTTCAATTTTTTTTTAAAAACTTTTATTACATGTTAACAGATAAGTTTTTCATGTATGCTTTGCAATTGGGAAAAAGGAGTTTTTATTACGTTCTTCTTAGATGAGAATTGAAATAACACTATAGGTACAATGTTGTTTTTTTAATAATTGGGGGTTATTTGCTAGGTGATAGAGTTGGGTATAAAGCTGAGATTTATGTTTATACCATTTCCTTTGGGAATTTAAGTTATGTAAGGATAAATACAGTGTTTACTTTCCTTTAAAATACATTGTGAGGAATTTATAAATATTAACAACAACACCAGAAACCTGCCCATATTCTTCTCTGTGAGAAGTGGTAATGAGACTTCTCTGCATGGATGGAGAAATTTGCTTGATAATGACTTTTTGTACTTAAAATATTTGACCTCTTGGTGGGTAAAATGTTACATTGTTTGTCCACTATTAGAAAATAAACATGTCTAATACCCTTTGTAATACTTTAAGCAATAAAAAATAAAAATAAAAAAATTTTAAAAAAGAAAATAAAAATTATGATTGCAGATAATATGTATGAACATAACTTAATATTCTATTAAATATTATAAGAAAATAGTTGCAAAAATCTTATTATAGGGATTCACTCTCTGAGAGATGCCTGTTTTTATCCATACATGCTATTTATAAACACACATACTTAGTTGTTTTGATTAGTTTCCATTTGATATTTAACTTAATCACCAAGAACAGTATTTTTGCAATTTTGAAGTCTCTAAATCATACATAAACCTGTAAAATATGGAAAAAAAGTTTTAAATCGGGGAAATCAATGTTCCTGGATGTAATTGAATAACAGCATACTACAATCCAACAGTATAATTGTGATGTGAACCTGTATAAATCTAGAATTTTTCTAAAGTAATTTTATTTTCATTAGTGAATCTTAAATAAAAATATTCATACTTCACTCAGAATTCAGCTGCAGAAACAATCAAGAATAATTACATATAGATTTTTCTCCTTTTCATAGGTTCATTCTTACTTTTCTTCCTTACATTGCCTTAGTAGAGGGGATCCCTTTAGCTGGGAAGAATTGTAGGAAATGGTCCTGGAGAGTGAAAAGGAATCAATGAAGTAGTAGATCCAAAAAAGAATTTATATCTACATTCACTAAAAGTCAGAAATAACATGAGTATTCTATGACTTTGGGTAGCCTTTCCTTTGCTGTTTTATTACAACTTACTAATAGTAAATATTTTCATTAAAACAGTTCTTCTCAAAGCGTGTTTCCTAAATTAGCAGTTTTAGACCACCTGAGAATTTGTTACAAGTGCATATTCTCACAGTACACCCAGACCTGCTGAATCAGGAACTCTGGGGGTAGGGTTCTAGGACTCTGTGTTTAAACAAGCTTTGTAGATGATTCTGATCTAGACTAACATTTGAGAATCATGGCCTTAATGTAGGTGCTTGCTTCAGGAATAACAGAGTAGCTCTTCCTTCAGAATATTGTCTTTAAGTATTTGTGCAAATACTTAAATATAAGTTTCCTCTCTGAGTTCTTCTTTCTCTGAGTTCTCCTTTCTCTAAGGCTGTCCACTCAGATAAGATGAGATAAAGTCAAATAGAAGTAATGGTAAGGCTGTGTGTACACAAAGGATTCAGATCATGCTTTTTTGAAAGTAAGAAAGAAGGCATTTTGATTATTTCCTAATCCCTAATCATTTAATTGCTTAAAAAAACGATGAAATAGTTTAGTTTCAAATATTAGTAATATGTTGCAAATTATTCTATGATTAATTAACCTTTTGTCCTTATGTTTTCCTCATGCATAAAAAAAATATGTTACTTAGCGTTGTGGCAGAACTTTTATTATTTGGAACATTGTTTAATTCCTTATTATACATGTTTTTTTGTGTGGATGAAAGGAGTGGTCATCTAATATTATATTATTAAATTGAATTTTTAAAATACATCAGAGTCACATTTTGTAAGAGTAAATATATGTGTTTTTTTAATTAACATAGCTCTTAGAAGAGCTACTACTGTTGATCTCTCACTGTGTCCAGGTACTTTTCTATGTACTTTATATGCCTTAGCTCATTGAATCCTCACTATTAGTGACTATGATCATTTTCACTTTTTCAGGCGTAGGAAGTCTAATGTCCCAAGATCATCTAGGTACCCATATGATAGAACCAGCATTCCAGGCTAAGCAGTCTTATTCCAAAACACTTTTTGTACTTGCCTGAGCATTATCATTTTTTCATGTTTTTTTTTCTTCTTTTTGCATATACTAAAGGTGTTTTTAAGAATATCAAACGGTGCTTATGTAAGGTCATATAACTGAAAACTTAATAGTGAACAATATACAGTTAAACCTTCATTCTTGAAAGTCTCCTATGTCAAACAATTTGGTTCTTGACCAAGTTGTTCATGAAAATAATGTCTTGGTTGTTGAACCAAACTTGCACTGGACCTGACAACCCTTTCATGTAGATATATCAGCGTGACAAAAGGCGTTTTTCACACCACAAACAAAGGAGAGAATGAGAGTCAGTTTATTTCTAAACTTCTCTTGTTAACATCTCAGGATATTGTGCTGTGAATATTTTTTTCTGTAGTAGTTGTTGTTGTTGTGTGTGTGTATTTCTTTTTTGCTTTTGTTGCTAGCCAAATGGATGCTTAGCACAATTTTAAAACATAAATAGGCCATCAAGAGTGCTGATATTGCTAAAGATGTGAAAGAAACAATGATCACAGGCAATTGAAGAGGTAGAAAAACTTGTTGATTTGGATAAGTAAAAAGCAGTTAGCTGGTGACAACATTTCAGAGCAGTGATATGTGAAAAAGTGAAGATGCTGCATACTGACCTCCAGAAAAACACCCTGAAAGGAGTGCTGAAAGTGATTCCTTTAAGGCTAGTAGGGGGTGGGTCAATAAATTAAAGAAAAGAAGTGTGTGTTTATAAATAAAACAGTACATTAGACATGTACTATGTATGTATAAGGAAGGTTAAAACGGAATCATTTGGGGATCTGGAATGAATTTACTCAATTTACATTATTTCTAATGGGAAAAAAATGATTCGGTTTTTGAACAAATTGCTTCTCAAACAGACTTCTGGAACAAATTAAGCTTGAGAACTGAGTTTGGTAAATACAACTAAGTGGGCTTATAAAATGGAGCAGGCCTACTTTAGCAAAGCAATTCAATTGTATAACACTGAGTTCCAATTATTCCCTTATTTGTTTAGCTTTTGAGGGAATTTTCAGGGAATTTTTTTAGATCAAGAGTTAATTCTTTGTAATTGGCACAGTGATCCATGTAGTAAGTGTTGAAAAACTGTTTTCTTTTAGGGATAGAATGATAGACAAAAAAAGATATACAGAGAACTTTTTTTCTTAAAGCTTCTAGAACTATGAATAGATTTTGTGGCCCTCAAAGGTTACAGAACCCTAAATCATTTTCTTCATATAGTCATTCTAATTTAGCTGCAGTCTTTGGAGTAGCCTTATGACTGATGTGAAATTTTACCGTGTCCCTTCTACACATTATTTGGTGGATTAGATTGAACTTTTATTAATTTCAAAGGTTTTAATTTAGAAGTGAAGTTTATTTTATTTTTTATTTTGAATTATATTTACTAGTCTTTATGTCTTAATTTCAACAGCATCACTGCAAAACTTGAAAGAGCTTTAGAAAAAGTTGCTCCTCTTCTTCGTGAAATTTTTGTAGACTTTGCCCCATTCCTATCTCGTACACTTCTTGGCAGTCATGGACAAGAACTATTGATAGAAGGTATGCTTTCTTTCTCTAATCTAATTATTTTAGTTTCCTATAATGTTTCTATTAATCATGACATAATTTGTACTTCTGGAGGAAAATTTACTGTCGAATATAAAGACATTGCTTCCACAAATGCTAATAAGATTATTATGTATGACTTCTTCTTGTTCATTTTTTAAATAACATATTTGCACAGTCAGTCTTATTGTACAGCTCATAACAGAATGAAGAACTTTGAAAAAGTTGGATGGGACTCTCTGGTTCTTATGATCCTAATCTACGGGGCTGCTGTATATCCTTCATTAGGAGGCTGTGTTTACTAAGTAAGGATCTCTAAAATTTCCTTCAAAGAGCCAGGCTTCTTTAAGAGCCTTGTTTTGATTCATATAACATTTGTTATATGAGAATCTTTAACTGAGAAAATGTAAAGAAACACTTAACTGGGAATTGATGAAGCTGTTGTCTTTTACTCAGTAGCAGCTTAAACGGAGTAAGAAGGCAAAAAAGGTAAATTAACTCTTGTGAAGATTTAATGCACTTGTAATAGGAGAGTAGCTTTGAAAGAAAGTTATCTGGAGCCTTATTTATTTAAAAAAGCTTTGTTTTCTAAATAGTCATGAAATTCAGAAGGGGCTAATCAATATGCAAACGATCCTGTGAGTGAATAATTGCTTTAGGTGCCATTTGTTGGATTTAGAAGCCATATATATATTTGTTTGCTTTTCACTTCCTATTTTACTATAGATTTCCTATGCCTTTTCTATCATCCTCTCAACTGCTTTTGCACAGTCTGTTTCTATTAGAAATATTTTCTAACTGGACTGAGTTTAAATCCTTATTCCACCACTTTCTTAGCTATATGACCTTTTGAGACTAAGTTTGCCATTTGTGGCTTAGTTCCTTTCTATAAATTGTCGTCTATGATAGCATCACCCTACCAGGACACTTGGGAGGATTAAATTATATAGTACATATAAAGCTTTTAGAACACATGTGGGCTGTTCACTTTTTATAAAAAATATTGCATTCTTGCTCTAGGTTAAGTGCTATTTTAGGTACTTGGAATATACTAGTAGCTAACAGACAAATAACCCTGCCTTGTGGAGTTTATAATCTAGCAAGGAGAGATAATAAATAAGCATTAAGCATAAATATTTAAATCATATAAAATGTTGAAAGTTGTCAAATACTATGGAAAAGTATAAGTACAACACTAGTGACTGGGATTATAGAAATGGCAGGGTTATATTGCAGTTTTAAAAAGGGTGATTGATTTTTAATAAGCCAATAGTAAAAGTTACATTTGAGTAAAGATCAAAAGGAAGTGAGTCATATAGCTTACTAGAAGAGTGCTCTAGGCAGAATAGTCAGGGTAGTGACCCTACAACATGTTATTTTTACAATAAGAAAGAAATTGAATAAGCATTATTGAAAACATAAATCTTTTTTTAAAATATTTTATTGATTTTTTCAGAGAGGAAGGGAGAAAGATAGTTAGAAACATCGATGAGAGAGAAACATCGATCAGCTGCCTCCTGCACATCTCCCACTGGGGATGTGCCCGCAACCCAGGCACATGCCGTTGACTGGAATCGAACCCTGGACCCTTCAGTCCGCACGCCGACGCTCTATCCACTGAGCCAAACCGGTTTTGGCATGAAAACATAAATCTTAAATGTTTCCTTATTCCCTAAAAATCTTATTTTTCTACTAGAGGCCCAGTGCATGAAAATTAGTGCACTGCAGGGGGGTCCCTCAGCCGGGCCTGCTTCTCTCACAGTACAGAAGCCCTCAGGGGATGTCCTACTGACAGCTTAGGCCCACTCCCCTCTGGGAGAGTGGGTCTAAGCCGCAGTCTGGCCTCCCTCTGCAGGAGGCGACTGGCAGATCAGGGGAGAGCACTGGCCGAATCACCCCCTCGCTGCCACTGCCACTGCTGGCTGCCACAGCTGCCTGAGCCTCGGCCCAGCCCTTGCAGCACCAGCAACTGCCATCCGTGCCTGCGGCTTTGTCCAGAAGGATGTCCGGTCTAATTAGCTTATTACCCTTTTATTAGTATAGATATTTAAGTGTATCTTTTCCTAAAATGTTTTGAAAAATTTATAGTAGAAATTTATATTTATCAAGGACATACTAAAATAAACACAGAACACATTTAGTAAAGTAGCGATACTAGTAATGGGTCCAATACTGTTATTAAAACTGAAACACAAATCTGCCCCAAGTTCCCCAGCAGCCAAAGCAAAGAAGGATTTATTTTAAGTTGTAAGACACACATTAGTAGTTCCTAAGTGACAGTTTATGACACTTTAAAATGTAAGGAATTGCTGTCAGGTAACTTTTTAATTGTTCTATATCTTTCAGTCAGGACTCCATTTATGTAGCCCCCTTTTCAGAATTTTCCTTGACTAGACACCTGGACTATTTCTTATTTTCTTCCCAGCACTTCAGAGAGAAGATAAGAGAAATGGCTCAGTAATCGAGAATAATTTTTCTTGGGCTTCTCTGAGTTTACCTCCAATACTCTGGATTGAGTTGAAAGAGCATTAGACTATGCCACTTGGATTTTTAAAAAGGACTATGCTAAAAATGAAACATTGGAACGAGTTACATATTAAAAGTTCACTTTGTGTTCACTGGGCAAAATGAAATTTTATTTTGTAACTTTCTGCATCCAAAGATATAACCTAATTTTAACATATCATTATATGTCCTGTTTTTAAGATTATATGGATGTATTATTCATATTCTTTTTTGTATTAAAATGATTTTTCTTAATAAAATGACATTAAATGGTAGGTCTTAGGTTTTGAGTTCTGTTTTTTAAATGCCATTATTTGGCAAAATATAAAATTGACCATCTTAAAATATGGTCCTTCAAATTTCTGCCAGTTTATACAATACGAAAATCTAGAAACCTCTGCTGTATAATAGAACATCATTTGGTATCCCTCCCAGTTTAGTCATAATCATTTTTTTTCAGATTTAACTCATCTCTATCTTCTTGCTATAGAAGACATTCCTTAAATATGCAAACAAGTGATGCATTATATTCCTTGTTTTTCTACAACTCTTCCTTCTGCATTGGATCTTTCTCCTTTTTTTAGCCCCCAAATTCTTCTCATGTTTTGAATCCTGCTTCAGGTTTCTTATGCCAAATTAATGCCATCTCTTTGTGGTCCTGTGGCATTATATTTATACAATATTAATAAAATTACTTTTACTTGTAAATAGAAATAATCTTATTGTTTATATTAACATCGCTTAACTTAGATTCTGGTACATAATATTCAGTATTTCTTTCTTGTACTTCAATAGAACATTATGTTTTTGCTAATCATTTTTGGTGAAGGTAAGTTTTAAAAATAAGGGAAGATGGGTAACATTGTTATATGGTGAGAATTCCCAATATTGAACATGAACACCCATGAGTTAGCTGCTACATTCATCCAAGGTTCATTCTTGCTCTTCACTCCAGCTTCTGGAAACACATGTGCTTTCATACTCTCATTCTTTAACATGTACTCTTGATCATTCTTTCATTTTCTCTCTGTTCCATTTCCTTTTTTTTTTCTATAATTTGATATACTATTCCTCTCCTCTGAGAAGAAAAACTATCAAACTGTTGTGAAGAACTCAGGAGATTTACATGATAAAAATATCTTTACCCAAGCTATTGATCAGTTCTGTTTAAAAAATAGTGCTAATGATGAATAAATCGCTTTGCTTTTGACTTTATCATATATATGTATATGGTAGGAACAAAGCTGGATTTAGGTAACTGAAGGTATTTTAGAGTCTTCCAAAAAGAAACAGTGACTACTCTTATTTTAAATAATCATAAAATATATTTGAATTGCATTTTGTCTTATTTTATATTCAGTTTTTCTTAACACACATGTACTTAAATTTTTTGTTATAGGATAATTAATCTTTGGTAGTTTATATTGTTATGTACTTTAAAATATAAATTAAGATAATGTTCTTTAAGTTTGTCACTTTTATTAGTCACACCTTTTATTTGACTAATAAAAGTGACAAGCTTAAATGTATTCTTGTATGATTCTAGTAGAGTAATCAATGTAGTTCACATCTTTTAAGGTGTATTTACATAGCTTTTGGTGTGTATATGTTTCTCTTGGCAATAATTAAAGATTTTTGAAGACAGTAGTAATTTGGAGCTGAGCGAATTTTCTTTAAAAGGATTCCAGCTTTTCAATTTGAAAACTAATACATAAAAATTATAATAAATATGTATGCAACTATCAAACCCATCAGCCCATGATGACAAACCAACCTTTGATCCAAAATTGTTATATTTGTCTTGCTGCAGCAATGGATAATGCACTTCAGAGATACTGTGGAGCTTCTTTTAAAGAAGGAGTTGAGAGGAGCTTATTTTAAAGTTTGTATTTAAATAAGTAGGGCCAGTTATAGATTGTTTTCAGACTGTCAGAAGGTGGGTTAGATATTGCTAATTTTTATTTAGGGGGCCTAAGAACAACAGTGGGCTTAGAGTTGTAATTAGTAATAAAGAAATATTAGTTACTCAAGTTAATCAGAAGAGAAGATGCTTAGGTGTGTGTATGTTTGTTAGCATAGTGTCCTTCACTCTGTCTTGTTTCACCATGGCATAGAGTGGCCCTTTAAAATCACTGTTTATAGTCTGTGAGCATTTTATGTTTGTTTAAGACTCATGAGAATATTTAAATTAATGTAATTATCATAAGGGTACAGCAAAAGTTTCATAAGCATCCAAGGGCAGGAAATGAAATACAGTTAGACTTCAGGCAGTCTAGAAATGCGAGAGGGGAGTCAGTAACCAAGGCTACTTCCTTTAACTCTTAAAGCAACTTCATAGCTTCCTATCTGTGTTTCTCTCTGTGTATGAACTCATTTTTTTTCTTCTCTCCCAGACTACCTTCACTTTCTAAGTTGTTTGAACATAGCCCAACATAACATCCATTCTTAACTCCAAATGTGCTTTTAATGTAAATATCTTTCATTATCTG